TCTGCCTAAACTCCCATACCAGATAAAACGTCCAGCCAGATGGAATCAGACTCCACACTTCCCAAGAGCCAACAATCTAGCCCAATATTCTCTGTTCTTACCAAGAATTAAAAAGCCGTGTGCTGCAGCAGTCTCCAGACACACAGAAGACTGGACTGTTCCAGAAGATTTTGTAACTCTCTATTGAGAAAAACTCTAAATTGGGCCAGACTTGGCTGTGGTTCCCGATAGCCCCGTAAATCTTTCAGGCCCCTCTTCGGCTGTTTAGCACAAATCCCTAATTCTTCCCCGTGTGGGTCCAACCCATGGAGTACAGCACATGGAGGCACAGCCTGGCCGGTGGCTTCTCTGGTGAATAACATCTGCGGGCCTTGTTGTGTTCAGAAAGCAGCTGCCGCGCAGGTCAGCTAGAAGCACGACATTTGGCAAAATCTCAGCCTCTGAATGTCATACTGAATTATTCTATATCTGTTCATTCCGTCACTGTTTAGTGACAGAGACAATTAAATTTTAATGGTTCTTAGTCAGGCTTGGTGGCGCACGCCTTTAATCCCAGTCCTCAGGAGGCAGAGGCAGGTGGATCTCTGTGAGTTTAAAGCCAGCCTGGTCTACATATAGGGGTCCAGGACAGCCAGGACTACATTAGAGACCCTATCTTAAAAAAAAAAAAAATTGATGGTTCTCAAGAAAAATTGAAGAATGCACATGGTCAATAAAGCAAACTGCCCTCAATCCTAAACCCAACTAATTATCTGGACTCAGAAAATTCTCAGAATATCCCAGACCAGTAATTTCTTCATGTAAGGAAACCATTCTCAAATACCTTAAACACGGCCTACTGAGCGCTAAGGCGCACGTGACACTTTACAGCCACAATTACTAACCCTCATCCACCTAGGCACAATCACGCCCAGATTATTATTTATATGTGTGTGTGTCACATGTGTATGGGTAGCCAAGGAGGCCAGAAGGCAGCACTGGAGCCCCAGGAACTGGAAGCCACCCAACGTGGGTGCTGGGTTCCAAAGGTGAGTCCTCCAGTAGAGCAGCAAGTGCTCTTAACTGAGGCTCCAACTCAAGAAGAAAAAAAGCTGTGTGTGTTGCCTACATGTATGTATGTGAACCACGCGTGCCTGCAAGAGGTCAGAAGACCTTGGATCCCCTAGAACTGGAGTTAAGGATGGTTCTGAGCCGCTGTGTGGGTATTGGGAACTGAATTCGGGTCCTCTGCAAGAGTAGCCAGTGTTAGCAGCTGAGCCATCTCTCCAGCCTCTCAACTTTTCCCGAAAAGATGTATTATTGCTTATAATCATGCTATGTGTCAAGATGAGTGAATGCCAAGTGTGTGCAGGCACCCTAAGGGGCCAGAAGAGAGGGCCAGATCCTTTGGAGCTGGGGTTACAGGCAGCTGCGAGCCATCAGACACACAGGTGCTGGGGCCTGAACTTAGGTCATCTGTCAGGGCAGCGAGGGCTTCTAACCACTTCTCCCTTCCCCCTTCTTACAGAAGGTGAAACAAACGGGATCTTCACTTTAGGTTGATTAGGTCAAGGTCACAAAGCAGTTTACCGCAGAGGACCAGACCACACACCTGACAGACCCCTAAGTGTCCCACAACACCAGGCTCCTCTAAATGTCTCCTTGTCTACAAGTCTCAGACGAGAACACCGTTAGCTATGGGCTTGGAGTTCCTGTTTGATTGACATACACAGGGGAAACCAGAATACTGATGGAACTAACTACCTTTTACAAAGTAGTTCACATTCTAGAAAGAACTCTTGAGCTGGCTGTGGTGGGCATACACCTGTCCATAATCCCAGCAGCTGGGCTGTGGAGGCAGGAGGATCAGGAGTTCGAGGCCATCCTCAGCTACACAGTGAGTTAGGGCCAGCCTGGGCTACAGGAGACTGTCTCAAACAAACAAAAACTTTATTACTGTCTAATCTTCATCACTTCATGAAATAGTTATTGGGGCTGGAGAGGCAGTCCACTGGGTAAGAGCTCATACTGCTCTTTGTGCACAAGATCCAAATGTACATCTCCAAATAGCTCAGCTGAGCTCACCTTGTCAACTCAACACATTCCTTAATATTTCTACCTCGGTATTTCTTGGACACCCCAGACTTAAGTTCGAAAGATTAAGTGTTCAAGCACTCCTGTTTCAGGTTTCGCTGTGGTCAGCTAGGGCCCGTCCTGGTAGAAGCTAGTCACAGGCAGTGGGTCTCACCTGGGGCTCCAGTTGCCAGGTTCTGCCAGCTACCGCTATATCTGCCTGCCTTGCTAACATCTGTCTCCACCACTGAGAGACGCCTTGGTAGAGAGCACCAACCCCTTGCATTGAGACAACCTCTTTGCTCAGGGTGTTACCCCACAGCCGTGAGGGCAGAAGCTGAAACCATGACTGAAAAGGTTTAGCCAGTGACTTCTGGGGTGACTTGCCGTGGGCGTGGTTCTCTCTGGGGACGTGACCAGATAAGACCTAGAAGGGTCACATGTGCTCTGTTGGGTGGTCAAAGCTGGAGCAAGCTTTGTGGTTGGTCCTCATCGCCCACGGGAGACCGACAGGACAGCAGCAGCTGGATCAGCAGTGGTGTCTGCTTTGTTCTGTATTCGTGAGTTTGTTTTCCATTGCACCCCTTAGCGAACTGTTCAATAGACTTTTGTGGGTTCTCGCTTCACATGTGGGATCATCATCTGGTCACAGATACCCCACCTCCATCCTCTCCTGATACATCTAGGGTTCTGAAGTTAAGTGTGACACGTGACTTTCTTGTTTTCTGTTCTAATAAGACTAAATTTATTCAATATCCTAATAGAAGTTTTGACTGCAAGTATCCAACAATTTAAAACTATAAAACAAATCTGTAAGGTTTAAAAACCGGGAACACGTCACAAATTTGTACGTTATCCTTGCACAGGGCCATGCTAATCATCTATAGATGTAGTCTACTCATGTTGACCCCTTGCAGGTTTTATGAGTCACCTTTTAACTCAACTTCCTTTACTTAGTTCTATCCTTCCTAGCCTTCCGTTCTCAGCTTAAAAATGGCTTTCGTAGATGTCTCTAACCACACTGCAAAGGCCTGTCCCCATGGCCTCTGTCATAGCACCCGTCACTGGCTTTCACAGGTGTCTCTAACCCCACTGCAAAGGCCTGTCCCCGTGGCCTCCGTCATGGCACCCGTCACTTGGCACGCAGCACTGCAGTCTGGAGTATCTGTTCACCTCTCTGTCCCCCTGACTGGACTGAAAACATGGGGGGAGAGCTCACCGGCATCTCTGAACTTGCACCGTACTGTTTCTATGTAATGCCTTCTACCTTGTTTGATCATCCTAAGACCTATATCTAGAATCTCTTGTTATCTAGGACCAGAGAGGACAGACAGGAACAACAAATACAAACTACAGAGAAATCAGGCATTTTGCTTTCTTTTTGGTCTTTCTTCTCAGAGTAGGAAGCCACTCCGATTAGGAAGTGGATCCAGTCCCTTGAATCCGTCTATGGGACTTGAGGTCAAGCTGCTGTGGTTTCATTTATCACCAAATGCCCTGATGGTTACAGAACACAGAATGCTAATGGTCTCAGGGACCTGAGTGAGTTCTGACCACACTACCAAGGACCACGAACACTTAAGATGAATCAAACAACCCAACTTTTAACCTCTGACATCCTTTGGGTAAAGGGACAACAGAAGCTGAGCCTACCGGGCATGATGTCACACACCTGTGATCCCAACACTTAGGAGGCAGACACAGGAGGATTATCACAAGTTCAAGACCAACTTGGGTTATGTGGAGAGTTCAGGTCAGTTAGAATAACATAGTAAGACTTTGTCTCAAACCCCCTCTCCAAAAAGCATTCAATCAAGCCAGGGACTGCTGAGCTCCCATGAGAAGACTAGCCTAGCAGGAGACCCTGACTTAACTCTCCCTTTAATGGCTCAGAAACCAGGGCCCAGGCAAGCAGCTGTTTACTATTCTAAGGGAGGCAGTCTCTTGGTCAAGTGTCCTTCCCAGGTGTCCCACCTCCCCAGTTAAGAACTAGCGACTGTCTGAGAGCAGCTGCTGGATCATGTCCAGATAACATCTGGGTTCCAAAGCCCAGTGTTTCCTTTGCTCCACAGACTAGAGAACACCAGGCAAAAAGAACAAATACAATAAGAACAAAGGAGATAAGGAAGTGCTATTTTAATTTTCTTTTTAAATCTTCCAAAAGCATTGTTTTTATCCAAACCTAAGTTATAACAAAGAGCATTAGAATCAGAAAAATAGAAAGATAAATGCAGACAATTGAACGTATGAAAAAGGAAAATTGTGAGACTCAGTTTATGAAGTTAAAATTTGAAACTTGTGCCTCTGGAAGAGATGTTATTTAATTATTTTTAGCAATGGCATCCAACAGCTCTAATACCCTGAATTTTTAAAGAATACCCATTTAAAAAACACATTTTAAAAACAGCCCTGTTCAGCTGTAAATTCTATCCTAAGCTCGGACCATTACTCTTGTATTTTGTTTGGGAAGAAAAGAACTGTTTCTGATGGCATGAAACGCACATTTAAAAAGAAAATTTTTTTTAACAGTTTAGAATTTTATTTTAAGAACTATTAGGGACAACTTGATGCAGGTAATTAAGTGCAAGACACGAACTCCTGGTCAACTCCGGAAGTCTGCTTCTTCGCCAGTCCCCTAGGGGAACTCAAGTGTTCCTCACAATGGTCCTTAGATACACACTTCTCAGCAAAACAAGAGCTTTGTTTACAGTCTTCAGATTTCACTGTTCTGAATTTTTTTCTGAAACCTAGATTTACCCCAAACCATCATTGCTACAGTAGCTTTGTCATGCTCAACCATATGCGAGTTCTCAGAGCAGCAGTGGCAGCTGGGAGGCCCCACTCGCCCCCCAGCTCCAGAAAAACATGATTGGTCACCCCCACTCAGCCACAAATCTACCTCCCGCTATTCAGAAGTGTCATCTAAGTCCTGACAATGACCGTGGACGTCTACGTGTCTACATCTCCTCTGATGAGCCGAGGTTGCCGGAGGAGCTCCTCACAGCTTAGCTTTGCCGGGCTGAAGCTGAAGGTTCTGCAGCTTCATCGCCAGGCCCTTGTTACCAGCGATTTTCAATTTACCTTGAAAGAAGGCCTGTGAGTAGTAAAAAGACAAGATGAATTAGTCGGTGTGTTTCGTTCAGCATTTGCTAGTGTTTCTAGACTGTTCAGGCCTTAATTTTCTGCAAAACACAAACCTTAGCTTTCTGGAACAGATTTAGAATAAGATCCCTTGAAAAGAAGAATTCCCAACAGCCATGCTTTATATAAATGGAAGGGAGCAGAATTCCCAAATTCCCTTCTCCTCAAAGTTGGGGCTCTCTACTTCAAATGCGAGGCAGAACAGATCAATATTAGATGAATTTTCTTTAAAACATCACATATGGGCTTAAAATATGAAATGAGATTTGCAGGAGGTTGCTGGGAGAGAAAGCACGCTGAGAACCCATTTAGAAGGTCCGGGGATTCAGTGGATGGTTGAAACTCCACCACTGACTGCTCTGCTCAGCTCTCCCCAGAGGGCTGGTCTCTGCAGAGAACAGGCCCTGCCCCCTGTTCACGATTCCAGTTCCTCCAGCTCAGTGAGAAGCCTCAGCCACTCTGAAGGGCAGAGCCACAAACTGTTCCATTTAACAAGACTGCGGATTAGATCATATGACATTTGCTAAATTTACTGTGTAACAAAACCCTAAGGAGACTCAGAAGTAGCAAAATGAGGGATATACATGATTCCTGCTATGACTTTAGAGTTTTAACTCAGTCTCTGGAATAAGGAAGAGCTGGCTGAGAAAGGTTTCTGGGAGTCTCAGAAGCAAGCAGCCTTGCTGGGTTCTTCCACGCCCTGATAGGGATCACTAACACTCCCATTCCCCCCGGCAGGGACAAACTAAATATTTCCTTTCTATGTGGCGCGATGCCGTCTGTCTGATGACTTAAAGGTCAGGTGTCTCGGAACACAATATATTTAATGTATGTTATTTAAAAATACAAACCAGCTATACAACAGAAACGCACCACCTTGGCCTTTTAAAGCTACAGGAGAAAATAACGGAGAAATCATGAGTGTTATCATGAGACTCCAAGCCAGGTTAATCTGGCCCACAGGTATTCTTTGTCTATGCTTTTCTGCTGGCGAGATCACCGCTTTGTTTCAACTACAGCCAAACACTGAAAGTAGAATTTCCACTGCATTTAAAGATTCCCAGTCAAATCCTCTACTAAGCATCAGGAAAGGCCATTAGCACATCAACAGAAAAGTCTGCTGCTCTAATCTTCAGTTCCTCTGGATGCTACAGGTGCTGAAGAAAAGCAGCTGACACCAGGCCTGCCCACCCCTGCAGATAAACTACAGAACAGAGGCAGCGGATGTGTGAAGGGCGAACCTCTGCCAGGGCTGTGGGGTGTGCACAGAATGGGCTCAGCAGCTGGGAAGAAGATGACAGCCAGCTCCTGTGCTGGTGGCCTGTCCCATCCAGGTTTCTGGAGGACTGTGGGCGGTGACATCAGTGCCAGAGCGAGTGTGGCAGGGAAGCAGCACAGAGGCACACTGCTCGGTCATGGCATTACTGAGACACACTTAGTTGCTAAGAAAACCCACTTAAAAAGGAATAGGAACAGGAGCCAGATTTAGTTTTGTTCAATCATGAATTACCGGGAATACCAGAAACAAGATCAAAACCAGCTAAGACAACAACAACAAAATGAAGTTAGAATGAAGGGAAAGTCTCAGGTTTCTTTTCTGCTAATGGAAGGCTTGGTATAGCTAGTCCTCTCGACCCTGTTGATAAAGGAAGGGTTCCTTAACAACTCTGGGTCCAGGAGAACCATATGAGGCATGTGTACGCTTTAGATAAATACACTCTATAATCTAACAACTATTGATAGCAACCTAAACCATCAGGCACTGTACTGCTGGAGAGACAAGAATACATGCTTCGTCTTCTGTGGCTCGGGATCTAACGGACGAGACAGACCTAGGACAAGAGCTCAGCTCAGCCAGAAGAGGGACAGTCCTGGAGGAGCTGATCTGAAAAGGCAAGATTACCAGGGAAAGGGGGTAGGAAAAGAGAAGAACTTGGTCACCAAGAGGGGCGCAGGAAGCCCTTTTTGTGTTCACCACCATCTCTTCTTCTCTCAAGGTGTTCCTTTCGACCACGCCTTGCTAGCTCTGTACGGTAAGCCTTTCCTGAAGCTGTTCTTGGACTCACCACAAGCCAGGTATGACACCTTAGATCTTACCAGCTGTGCTTGGTGTGTGTGTGTGTGTGTGTGTGTGTGTGTGTGTGTGTACACCAAGGGCAGAGGTCAACAGACTGTTGCTCTCCACCTTCCTTTCTGAGACAGGTCCTCTCACTGTGAGCTCCGGGATTTGTGCGTCTTTGCTTCCCCAGCACTGAGATTACAGACATGTACTGCCATGTCCAGCTTCTTTACGTGGGTGCTGGCGATCCAAACTCAGGTTCTCATGTTTGTGCAGCGTGCACTTTAGAGATTAAACTATCTCCCTGGCCTCTGTACTAAACTCTTACAAATCTGTTTCTTATCAAACTGAGTGCAGGGACTACTTCAGTTCATCTGGTACTTGTAATACACAGGACAGTGATGTTCCACAAACGCCTGCCCATCGTACTTACCGACTGAGGATTCATTTTACCAGTCATCATAGCCAGCAAGTCTGAGTCGGCCATGGTGATTGTGCAGTCAGCCTTCTTATCTAAAGGAAAGAAGAAAGAACATTCAGGAACACGACACTTGGAGACCACGCCTTGCATGAGAATCACAGCTGAGCAGCAAGAGGACATGGGCCCTCGGGAACATTTCTGTTGCAGGCTGGTAAGATGGGGTAACCTCAATGCTCAACAACAGGAATGAGTCAGGAAAGCATGGTGTGTTCTTGTACTGGAACACAATGCAGCCATGGTCCAGAAGGTGAAGGTGTTGTATTTGTGACAATGACCATAGGGAGGCAGTTACAAAGTAAGCCTCAACAATGGTACCATTCTTGCTTAAAAATGGTATTCAATGATAGAAATAAAAGGGAAACAACTGTCCTCTCAGACACTGATATGCCACTGTTACTGTGGTTGGCAGACTCAGGTGGCCCTCCTTATGATCCCTGCCGACCGTGGGCCAGTGTGAGCGGGACCTGTGCCTTGCTGCAGCTTAGGGAGTGTGGCAACAGTGCTGGAAGGGAACCAGGGATTTAACGCTAGATAAGCACCACCTCGCTAGCAGGCTCACACTCGCGCCCCTCTTGGCTCTGAGCAGCTGGTACATGTGAGCTCCCCTCAGAGAGGGCCATACTTTCCAAGGAGCTGGGGCGACTGAAGTTACTAAAGCTGCTGTTCTCGCAGCCACAGGAAATACAGTCTGCCAACAACCTGGGTTAGCCTGGATGCCGAAACCAATCAAGCCTCCAGATGGGCCTAATTCTGGCCAATAATTTGAAGCAGTTTTATGCAACCCTGTGCAGAGAATCGAGCTAGGCTGTCATCAGCTCCTTAACCACTGGAAACATGGAGGTGATAAAGAAAAGTGCCCCCCCCCACTATGTAGCCCAGGCTGGCTCCAAACTGAGATTACAAGTACACGCCACCAAGCCTAGCTAATGTATATATTCTTTTAAGACTTTAAAGTCATAATTTGCTTTACAGTAAGGAAAATTAACACAATCACATAAATATTGGGTTAACCAACATCTTCTGTAAAAGATCAGACACCAAATGTTGTAGGCTTTGGAGGTCACCAGGAATCTGTCATAATCTGTCATATAATGTTTGCTATATGTTTTCTATATAGTGCAAAAGTAGTTATAGATAATATGCAAATGAGTATCTAGGCCCAGTAAAGCGTGTTCTTTCGTTTTCTTTGTGTTTTTGCATTTACTTATTCATTTTAGGGTACTGTGTGTTCATGTGCATGTGTGCACACTTATGCCCATGTATGACATAGTACGCATACATCAGAAGACAACTTGATAAACTCTCTCCTTCTACTGTGAGTTCTGAACTCAAGTCGTCAGGCTTGGCGGCAAGTCTCTACCCATTGGCCTTTCACCAGCTTCCCCAACAAACAATTTTAGAGCAGCATCAGATGGAGGGAACGGGACCTGCAACTCACAAATCTACAGACAATTTGCATCTAGAACACTGAAAAAATTCCTACCACTCAGCTGCCAGAAGTTAGGTGAGGGGCTGGGGAATGGCGCAGGTGCTGGGCAAGTGTAAGGACCTGAGTTCAGATCCCCAGCACCCACATAAAAGCTGGGTGTAGCTGGGCAGCAGGGCACGTCTTTAATCCCAGCATTTGAGAGGCACAGGCAGGCAGATCTCTGAGTTTGAGGCCAGCCTGGGCTACAGAGAAAGTTCAAGCACAGTCAGAGCTATACAGAGGAACCCTCAGCACTCTGGTGGGGGACAGGGGACTACCTGAAGGTCATCGGGGCTTGTGGGGCTCAAACTTTGCTCCAAATTTACGTTCAGTGGGAGACTCTGTCTCAAAGGAACAAGGCAAAGTGACAGATCGGGACACCAATGTCCTACTTTGGACCCCACATGTGTTCACTTGCACGAACTCATACAAACATGCAAGGTGGTCCTGAAACTCACTAGGCAGATTAGACTGGCCTTGAATTTACAGAGATCTGCCTGTCTCCATCTCCCAAATGCTGGAATTGAAGGTGTATGCCATCATGGCCCTGCCTAAAAGGAGTTTTGTTTTAGGGTAGATTTTTATTGAATATAAATTACAGCCTGACAGACATGACTTTATCATGTTCCAAGTACCATAAAAATCGTGAGGCAACTGAACATAAACCAGGGCACTCAGTAAAACCCTGACTGATGCACTTTGAACACTCCCACGCAGAGAAAAGTCCAAAGTCATGATAAAATGCCCAGAGCAGCTTTCCTTAGAAAGGCCTAAATCAGGAACAAGACAAGCTCAACCGACAGCGACTAAACGCTGGTGTTCGGGCATGGGAAAGATGAGCCGTCGCTGCCTGCAGCCACTGTACTGGATCCTGTCCTGCTGAGCAAGGAGCCCAGCACTACACAGAAGCAAACGTGGGATGACTCCATCAACAGGTTCGCTAGTAAGTAAAACTCAATCTGTGGGACAGAATTTGGAAGAAGGCTTCCCTTTGGGGTGGATGTTAGGAGGCTCTGGGGAGGCTCTGGAAGCTGAAATGCAGCAGCAGCATCCCGAAGCATCCCCACCCAGGAGGTGTGTCGGTCTGCAAACATTCATCAAGACAGTACCTCAGATCCACGCAGAAAGATCCACAAATAAAGAGCAGACAATAAACTGCCGAGATAATCCGGACCCCAAGAAAAGAGAGGGGGGCCAGGAGTGGCAAGGTCTGCCTGTCACTCCAGCACTCAGCAGGCTGAGTCAGGAAGACTTGCCCAGACCGGACGGATGCTCTCATCACTGCTCTGCAGCCAGGGAGACACCATGAGAACCAAGGCAAGCCTGGGATGCATGGTGATGCCTTGTCTCTGAAAGACAGGAGAGCCTGAGAGACGGACTCAGAGGTTAAGAGTGTGTGCCGCTCTTACAGGGGACCCACTTTCGGCTCCCAGCACCCAGGTCAGGGTGAGCTGGAGATTTATGGCCCTGGACTTCTCAGGCACCTGCTGACATATGCACATCCCCACACAGAGATACAGACATAAACACGTAATTAAGAAGAAAAAATTAAAAAAGAGAAAGATGATTTACCAGGCATGGTGGCACACACCTTTAATCTTAGCACTTAAAAGGCAGACACAGGCAGGTCTCTGTGAGTGTGAGGTCAGCCTGTTCTACAAAGAGTTCCAGACCAGCCAGGGTTTTGTTTTTTTTTTTTTTTTTTTTTTTTAACATACTATTCCCACAACAGCTCTCCCAACAGAAACTGCTTCACCTGTTTTCCAGAGGAGACAACTAGGTGCAGGGAAGGACTGCACCTTGCCTGAGAGACTGGGGCAGGATCTGAACCCAGGTTTGAGAGATCCAAAGGCTCGTCTTACTGTACCTGCGCACAGGAGACCCAGAGGCTTTCCTTACCCTGCTGTCCAGAAGGGATCAGCGGGAGAACTTAGCCAGGGCAGAAGGAAGGGATGAAGCAATAACTCGTGGCATCAGAAGCTAGCTTCAAGAAGTCAAGGGAAAAAAAAGAAGTCAAGGGAGAGAAGGAACTGATGGAGAAGGCAATAGAAGACATCCAAGAATCGAGCAAGAAGATGCAGAACACATTCACAAGTGTTTAACAATCACGTGTATTTCTCCATCACACTCTTAGATAGCAGACGAAGAACGTGTAGAAACCGTACTTTTTATCAGGAACAAAACTCTCTGATGCCAGGGACCAGAAGAACCAGCGATTCTCCTCATGATGCCAGTTCAAACTAGGCCATGCTTCTGAGGCTTTAGCATAGCTGATACCTAACAAATGGGCATCTGTTGAGGATGTAAGAGGAACTGGAGTTTCCAGGGGTGGCTTTTACAGACTAAGCCCACATTTCCACTCTGGCTGCCAACAGGTGTCAGGTTTACCCTCCCCAGGTTACCGCCATTCAGGTCTGGACAGGGCACATGAAACGGGGGAGAGCACATGGCAGCAGGTGTTTGTGCAGGGAGCGAGGTCTTTCTGACATTATTCAATAGCTTTCTATAAGCAAACCATCTTTTATGACCAAACAACCAGCTAAATGGAAGAGCAAAGGGCATTTTTTTAAAATTACTTTAGCAACTGTCAGGAAATTAATAAACTTTATTTTTAATTGTCACTACTACTAGATACAATGGCCCATGCCTTTAATCCCAGTACTTGGGAGGCAGAGGCAAGCAGGTCTCTACCAAAGCCAATCTGAACTATATAGCAAGTTCCAGGCCAGCCAAGGACACATAGTGAGATTCCCCCGCTCCACCAAAAAGCCATTGCTATATTCTCCAAAGCACCTTCTATTTTTAAGAGCTGCATTTAGAGGACACCTTTAAAAGCTTTTCTTCCTATACCACTTCATCAGGGCATGGAATGCAAACAGTTTCTCTGCCCACTCATTGAGGGGGGAACTATGTATAATTCAGGAACCTTTGTGGCAAAGCCACTCTGCCATACCTGGCAGACTTCCTATTCATTGGTCCTATTCAATGGTGCACAAATCATTTCTCTTGTTCCAAATGCTTCACACCAATCCAGGACTCTGGAGAGTCTGGATACCTAAGTACAAGCACAGGGAAAGGAGCGTCCATCCCTTTTAAGAACACTCCTCCACCTGTGCCGAGGACATGCTCTCCTCCAGGGCTGGGTCAGGGACAGCTTCACCTCTCTTCCCTCCACACAGCCTCCAGGTCCCCCCAGTCAAATGTTCCAGCACCCACCCTCACACACTCACTTTGCTCTCTGCCACACCAAGCTGTCCCTCAAGGCCATGGTGACACCGTCGTCCTAAATGTTCTCTCTGGCCCTGCTCACTCCCTTCCAGTCATCAGGCCTATTACAGCTTACAGGGAAAGGTGGCTAGCTCATGTGGTCACAGCTTGATCCCTAGCTGGTGACACCACTGAGAGGTGACTGGGCTGTGAGGGCTCAAGATTCTCCACTTCTTCACATGACTGGGTGGCTGAATGGACCACTGGGAGGTGGGGCCTGATTAGAAAGTCATTCGCCTGGCTAAAATCAAAAACACCAATGATAGCCTTTGCTGGAAAGGTTGTGGAGAAAGGGGTACCCTCATCCATTGCTGGTGGGAATGCAAACTTGTGCAACCACTTTGGTTGCACAAGCAAAGCAGTGTGGCGGTTTCTCAGGAAATTCGGGATCAACCTACCCCGGGACCCAGCAATGCCACTCTTGGGAATATACCCAAGAGATGCCCGATCATATGACAAGGGCATTTGTTCAACTATGTTCATAGCAGCATTATTTGTAATAGCCAGAACCTGGAAACAACCTAGATGTCCTTCAATGGAAGAATGGATGAAGAAAGTGTGGAATATATACACATTAGAATACTACTCAGCGGTAAAAAACAATGACTTCTCGAATTTTGCATGCAAATGGATGGAAATAGAA